CCACTTCGGGAACCTCTGAGGAGCCCGTTTCAAATAGCATCTCAGCTCTGTAACCTCCACCCTTTCAGCACCCTCTCGGGACCATATCAGGACGCTCAGGAGCCTCTCAGCACCCTCTGGAACCTGCCAGAACCCTCTCAGGACCCCCCTCACCCTATCACTTGAATATGTTCGTCTTCACGAACGTCACAACGCGAATGCTGGCCCAAGAGAGCCGTAGAATCGCCCGAAGAGGGACCGAAAAAGCCCCGAGTGAGCTGAAGATAGTCCACTATCGGCGCAAGAAGGCCCGAATTCAATGCAAGAGAGCACCTGGAGAGGCTCAATGCGGCCCAAGACAGCAGGGCAGCGTAGGCAATCCGCACGCGCGCGTTAATGGCCCAGGCGGTGGCAGGAAGCAATTGTCCAGCGGCAAGAGGGGGAGACAAGGGAATAGCGCGGCAGCGGAGGGAGGAAGAAGAGGGAGGACACCCACAGTGCGAAGGACTTCGACTGGAGTGGCCAGCCTCGGGGGACCACAGAGGGCCCAAAAGCGCCCAAGACACACCCCAGAAGGGCCCCGAGGCCGCCGAAGAGTGCTCGAGGGCGGTCCCAAGAAGGCCCACGAGGGCCCCGAGCCCCCAGACAGCATTGATCCTCCTCCTCCTCCTCCTCCTCCTCCTCCTCCTCATCATCATCATCCTCCTCCTCCTCCTCCTCTTCCTCCTCCTCCTCCTACTCATCCCCCTCCTCCTCCTTTCCTTCTCCTTACTGTCGCACCCCGAGGCCAGTTTTTAGGGCGGGCCGGGCGTTTCGCTTGAGACTTCCTCACCACGTATGACAAAACTTGACAGCAGCTTCACAGGTGAAGGGCGGGGGGGGTCAAAATGTGGCAATCGCCTGAGCGCCGCGCACACTCGATTTCAAAATTCGCAAGAGTTTCACGGATTGAGGGCGGGTGGTTTTTCAAAATGTTGCTCTCGCCTTCGCGCCGCGGACATTCGTTTCCAACATTTGCAAGAGTGTCACGGGTTGAGGGTGAGTGGTTTTCAAAATGTGGCTCTCGTCTTAGCGCCGCGAACATTCGTTCTAAAAACTGCAAGAGCTTCACGGATAGAGGGAGGGTGGTTTTCAAAATGTGGTTTTCGCATTAGCGCCGCGCAAACTCGTTTTACAAAATTGCAAGAGTTTCACGGATTGAAGGCGGTTCCTTTTCAACATGTGGCTCTCGCTTTAGCGCCGCGCAAATTCGTTTATACATAATGCAAGAGTTTAACGGATTGAGGGCTAGTGGCTTTCAACATGTGGCAATCGCCCTACCGCCGCGCACATTCTTTTCCAACATTTGCAAGAGTGTCACGGATTGAGGGCGGATGGATTTCAAAATGTAGCTCTCGCCTTCGCACCGCGCACATTCGTTTTCACAAATGTTGCAAGAGTTTCACGGACTCCCGCCATCATCTTACCAGACATTGTGCGTTGGAAAGATTCAAGGTTATGCGGGCGCAACACTTATGTTGATTCGCGGAGTTGAAGTCCCACAAACGGCGTTCTGGCACGATTCCAGATCGTCAGAACGCAGCAGTCAGGTTGATCCGTGGCGTGGAAATCCCGAGAACAATGCTTTGGCATGCTTCAAGGTCTTCAAACGGTTGTCTTCCAACGAGGCAGATCCCTCACTGGAAATGAAACGCTGTAGGGGCCTATGAAGATGGAGCTTGGACGGAGGGTTCATTCCAACATCGTTGATGACCCTTGGGTTTACACTAGTCCTCCTTCTCCTCCTCCTCCTCCTCCTCCTCCTCCTCCTCCTCCTCCTCCTCCTGCTCCTCCCCCTCCCTCTCCCCCTCCCCCTCCTCCCTCTCCCCCTCCTCATCCTCTTCCTCCTCCTCCTCCGCCTCCTCCGCCTCCTCCGCCTCCTCCACCTCCTCCTCCTCCTCCTCCTCCTCCTCCTCCTCGGCCTTCTCCTCCTTCGAAAACGGATGCCGACAGGAGCTCGAAAAACATACCAAATGTTATAATAGAAGGGCGGGGGTCACAGCCCTCCCAGACGAATTTCGAACCCCCCCCAGACCAGTTATGAGAGGACGGCCTTTTGCCCAGACCCCACTGGAACCCTCCAAGACAGCCCGAATCAACCCCACAACTACTCCGACGGTAGGACCCCGCATGAGACTATATTCAGATTGCCCCTCGCTCTTTCCTCTTTGCCCTGGCCGAAGCCACACCCGTCTCGCCCTCTGTTGCGCCTCCTCCTCATCCTCCGTGTCTCCCTTGTCCTCCGTCTCATCCTCCTGCTCGCCTTCCTTGTTCAATTGCTCCTATTCCTCTTCGTCCTGTTCCTCCTCCTCCTCCTTCTCCCCACCCCTCATCTCCATCCCGCCTGTTCTCCTCATGCACGGCCTCAGCTGGTCTCTGCTGTTCTCTGCGGGCCTCCGCTGGTCCCTGCTGCTCTCTACCGGTCTCTGCTGTTGTCTCCTGCTCTGACGCTGTCTGCTGATGATAAATGATATGTTATGCCGTGTATTAAAATGGGGGCCCATAGGGAGGGGGCTCCCGCCTAAGACTGCCTTCCGACTCACTGACAAACGCGCGAGGAACACCTCGTGGTGTGCCCCTTTGGGGCCTGGCGGAGTTTGCGGATGACCCGCTCGGATTACCAACATGAAGTGCAGACCCCATAGGGAGGGGGCTCCCGCCTGACACTTCCGCGCTACCCACTCACAGACGAAGCCCACGCGTGAGACTTCTTCCACATTCAGTCCAGAAGAGCCGAACAGTGGCGACATCTACAGGTTTCCGATGACCCGCTCGGATTACCGACATGAAATGCGGACCCAATAAGGAGCGGGCTCTCGTCTCAGACGCCATCGCAATTCACTCACGGACGAAGCTGCCGCCTGAGACTTCCTCCTGATTCAATCTACAGGAGCCGAGAAGTGAAGACAGCTACAGGTTTTCTACAACACGCTCAGATTACCAACATGAAGCGCGGACCCCATAAGGAGGGGGTTCTCGCCTGAGACTTCCTCGCAATTCACTCACAGACGAAGCTCCCGCGCGAGACTTCCTCCATATTCGACCCAGAAGAGCCGAAAAGCGACGACACTTACAAGGTTCCGATGACCCGCTCGGATTAAGAGCATCAAATGCGAACCCAATGGGGGAAGTGCTCCCACCTGGCACTTCCTCGCAATTCTCTCGCAGACGAAGCTCCCGCCTGAGATTTTCTCCATATTCAATCAAAGGGAGCCGAAAAGTGACGACAATTACAAGGTTCCGTTGGCCCGCTCGGACTGCAAACATGAGGTGCGGGACCCATAGGCAGGGGGCTTCCGCCTGAGACTCCCTCGCAATTCACTCACAGACGAAGCTCCCGCGCGAGACTTCCTCCATATTTCCCAGGGGACCCGAAAGGTGACGACAATTACAAGGGTCCGATGACCCGCTCTGATTAAAAACATTAGGTGTGGGACCCATAGGCAGGGGGTTGCTGCCTGAGACTTCCTCGCAATTCACTCAGACGAAGCTCGCCTGTGACATCCTCCAGATTCAAGCAAGGGCAGCCGAAAAGTGACGACAGTTACAAAGGTTCCGATGACCCGCTCGGATTACCGACATGAGGTGCGGGACCCATAGGCAGGGGGCTCCCGCCTGACACTTCCGCGCTACCTACTCACAGACGAAGCTCCCGCCTATCATTTCCCCCATATTCAATCCAGAGAAGCTGAAAAGTGATGACAACTTCAAGGGTCCAATGACCCGCTCGGAGTAATAGCATGAGGTGCGGGACCCATAGGGAAAGGGCTCCCGCCTGAGACTTCCTCGCAATTCACTCACAGACGAGGCTCCCTCTTGGTCGATGATAACGATGGGATGGTGATAGTGATGAATGTGTGATGTTAGTAATGGTGATGGTGAGTTGGTGATAGTGACGCTGATGAGGAGGTGTGCAAAACTGATGATAATGACGATGGTGATGATGACGAATATGTGTGTGAGAGCTTGCTGATGATGATGTATGAGCGCGTGTGTGCTGATGATAACGATGATGATGTATGAGTGTGGAGGGGAGGGGGTGAGGAGGAGGACTGCGCGGAGGTGTACAGAGAAAACAAGATACCCACTTAGGATATGGGGAAAAATCAGACCACCCCCCTTTTGTTACGAAATCCTGGGGTGCACCCCCCTTTTATTGCGAAATCCTGAGCAACTCGTCCATGCAATCTACGATCATGGGGTGCGATCAATGCAGGGTGCATTCCACGGAACTCTGAGTTTTCCGAAGCGCCGGCGCAACTACAACACCAAGACTCGGAGCACTTCGCGCGAGGCGGCTGCAGGCCGGCCGCTGGCCAGCCAGCTTACAGCGCAGAAGCGAAGCATACATCAAGCTGATGCTATGCTAACAATCGGGTGTTGCTCGAAGTGCCCCTGGCCCAAGGTGCCCCTGGGATTCCCAGGGAGGCCCCCATGGCCTCCAGAGCGCCCCTCACGAGGCCCAGGGGGCCCGATGGGGCTCCGAAGTGGAGCGGAAGGCTGGGGAGCACCTTGGGCCAGGGGCACCTCTGGCAACCCCCGAAGCAAAAGCGTCGCCAGACAATCCAGGTCGCCTACGTAACCTCGCGCACCGCGAGCCGCGATGCGCGCGATGCGCGATGACCTTCGCGCCCTCGCGCCGCCCCCTCTCGGAGAAGGGCGGCTGCTCTGGCCCAGGCCGCGACGCGCGAAGCGCGCGATCTTCTTCGGACCCCCGCGGGTGACCTGGATACGAACGGTGTCGCTACTCCCTCCTCCCTCCGCCCTCCGCCCTCCGCCCTCCTGCCTCCTCGATCCTCCCTCCTCCCTCCGCCCTCCTCCCTCCTCCCTCCTCCATCGACGAATGCAAGCACGAAGTGCGCTTTGATAGGCTGGCGTATCCTTTCTTGCGCGGTCCCCAGTCTTGGGTTCCCCAGGGCCCACATCCCTTCCTGCAGCGGTGCCGCCGCCGCTGCCGCCTACGGTAGGGAGCCAGGCCTGTCCTCGGGCGTCGTCGAGTCCTCCAGCGTCCTCACGAACTCGCGGAAGGAGCCTGCCTTGGTCGGCTGGGAAGGCCGCAGCAACCCAAGGGAAGCTATACATGGTAGCGCGGAGGGCGGTTGGCGTGCCGAGGAAGAGGGGAAAGGGAAGAGGTGTTCCCCCCTGGGGCCGTCCCATGTGAACCCCCTGTTCGGGGTTGCCTCAAGGGAGGGGGATCACAATCAGGAGTGCTGGCGAGTTAGCCACGATCTAGGAGCTGGGGATCTTCTTGAAGAAGGCCGCAGTGTCTCGTGTGCGGCGGCAGGTCTCTGAAATGGTTGCTCGGTGATCATGGCTTTCAGAACAGTCCTGTCGGTGAGCACGGACATTTCCAGACGGTGTGCTCTTGGCTTTCTTCGCCGAGGAACCCACGGGGACCAGTGCCCGCGGGAGGACCAAGCCCTCGGCCGAGGCGCAGCAAGACTCCGGCCTGGGGAAACCAAAAGGTACCCATACCGCTGCTCCTGAGGTGCGCCCTGGCCAGAATTTCGAGGCGAATCCTGCGGTGGCGACGGGGGCCTCCCAGGAGGCCCAAAATGGGGGAAACAAGGGAAGGGTGGCGGTATGGGTACACGTCGGTCGGAAGAAGTAGGTAAAAGCATGAAGTAGGAAGGCGGATAAAGTAGATAGGGTTCACGCCCTCCCAGAGAAGGACAGAACACAGCACAAAAAGTTCGACGATTAAAGTAGGAAGGCGCTTGAAGAAGATTGGGATTCCCTAAGATCCGACGCAGCGAAAAAATGGCAACATCGTAAAAAGTCATGCCCGGAGCCCTGGACCCCATCTTTGAGCGCCATTTTTCGAGCCGGATTCATCTGTGTCCCGGGGCACGGAAAAAAGCGAAAACGTCTGGCTCGAACAAAAATTGACACACCAGGATCTCAAGGTTGTGCGCGCCACCAACCCTCATGAGGCCCAGTGGGCCCCAGGAGATCCAGAGCGGCGCGAGAAGCGGGAGGGGCCTTGGATCGTGGTTTGTTTATTAACCTCTCGGCCATGACGCGCGTTTTGCCCCATACCCTCAGGTCGGGCATGTCCCCTACAGGCGGATTTTGGGCGAAGAATTGAAAATATTCGAAAAATATTCAAAAATTGCCCATACATGCACAAACAAAAAAACTCGTCCCCAGACTATATTTCTTGCCATGTTTGAATACTCCTACTCTAAAGGGACAAGCCCGACTAAACCCTACGCTCCCCCCCTCCCCCCCATAACGTAACGCTCCCCCTCAGTGCGCCCCCGGCGCTGCCGCAGTGCGTCTGGCGCCTCAGTCTGGGGAGGGGAGGGGGGGTCGCTACGTTGTGTCCCGTCCTGTCACCACCACCCCTGGGCAGCACCCACGACCTGCACAGCCGCCTTTGTTCCTTCAGAGGCCTCCTAGATGGCGTCGGAGTAGATGGAGTCGGAGGATCTCGCCGCATCGCCGATACACCGGCGATGCATCGCCGATGCATCGGCGATACACTGGCGCTGCGCCAGCGACGTCGGCGATACATTGGCGCCGTCGGCGTGGATAGATTCGGACTCCACATCGAGCCGCATCGGCGATGCATCTGCGATGTGGAAAGATCCGTCGACCTCATCTACTCGGAGCCCATCTCGGAGGCCAGTCTGGGGGGCGGGGGGGGCGGGCGCTGCGTTTTGCCACCTCCTGTCCCTCCCCCTGGGGCAGCACCCCTACGTTATGCCCCCTCTCGGGAGCGGCCAAGAGGGGGGTGTCCAAGAGGGGGGGGCAAATCATGTCCGGCGGCACGTGCGCGGCCCGGCTGGGGGGCCAGGGACGTAATGAAGCAAGAAGAAGCGCCATGAAATCTGGGGAACTATCGTGGCCCCCGCCATGATATCCACCCCCCCTAGTTATCCCCCCCCCCCTCTTTGCCGCCCCCAACCCTCCCCTCCCCTTGGGCAGCACCCCTACGTTATGCCCCCTCTGATGGGCCTGTTTTCCACCACCACCACCACCACCATAAGTTGGAGGGGGAGGAGGAGGTGGAGAACGAGGAGGAGAAGGAGGAGGAGGAGGAGGAGGAGGACGAAGAGGAGGAAGACGAGGACGGGGAGGAGGAGGACCCCTCGTGGCGGTGGTGGAACACAAGCCCATCACCCTCCTGCCTGCACAGCCGCCCCGGTTCTTTCGTTCTCGAAAGCCCTGGGCAGCGCCCGCGGACCTGCACGGCCGCCCGTGGACGCCTCGGCCCCCGGGCCCCCGGTCTGGACGCCCCCCCGGCCTGGGCCTCCAGAGGCCCCGCGGGGGGCCCCGGACAAACGGCACGGCACGGCCCAGACCTCGAAAACCTCGTCTGGCGGGGGAGGAGGAGGAGGAGGAGGGAGGAGGAGGAGGAGGAGGAGGAGGAGGAGGAGGAGGAGGAGGAGGAGGAGGAGGAAGAGGAGGAGGAGAAGAAGGGGGAGGAGGGAGGAGGAGGAGGAGGAGGAGGAGGAGGAGGAGGAGGAGAAGGAACAGTGTAAATCCAAGCGTCATGAACGATGTTGGAATAAACCCTCCCCCCAAGCTCCTTTTTAAAGAGGCCTCTACAAAGGCTCATTTCCACTGAAGAAAATGCCCCGTTGAAAAACAACCGTTTGAAGACCCTGACGCATGCCAAAACATCGTTCTCGAAGTTCCAGCCCCACGGACAAACCTGACACTTGCGTCTGAACGACGCCGAATCGCGCCACAATGCCATTCCTGGGACTTCGACACCGCAAATCAACGTAAATGTGGCACCCTCATATCCAAAAATCCTTCCAAACACTCAATTCCTGGTACGCTTATCGTGGGAGTCCGTGAAACTCCCGAGCTTGTTTAACGAATGTGCGCGGCGTTAGGACGAGAGCCATATTTGGAAAAGGAGCCAACCTCAATTCGTGAACTCTTGCAAATTGTTAAGTGCGCGGCGCTAAGGCGAAATCTACATTTCGAAAACAAGTCGCCCTCAATCCGTGAAGCTCTTACAAACGTCAAAAAAATGCGCGCGGCGCTTAGGCGAGAACCACATTACGAAAACAACCCGCCTTCAATCCGTGAAACTCTTGCAAACGTTCAAAACGAATGCGCGCGGCGCTAAGGCGAGAGCCACATTTTGAAAACGATCCGCCTCCCACATGTGAAATTGTTGTTATGTTGAAAGCTTCAGGGTCTTAAGTGATGCGGAATTCTCAAGCCAAACGCCCGGTCCACTTTAAAACTGGCCTCGGGGCGCGACAGGGGAAAATTATTGAGAAGGAGAAAGTGTGGAGCAGGCGGAGAAGGAGGAGCAGGAACGCCCACTTCCGATGTGTCTCTCGTCCCGCTGGCCCAAGAGCGAGCCAGCAGACCCCTCAGCTTCGTGCGACGTCTGGCAAGGACTCCAGCTCGGGCTTGCATTAAATTTCGCACACGTCCAAGGCCGCACTTCTTGCTAGCACGAAGGAATTGAAAGTCGAATATATCAAATCGTGAATTAACAATGAAGAATGAAGCTCCTCCGGGGCCATATCTGGAAGCTGACTAACGCACATTAACTATTGGCGAGAGAACAAGGGGAAACAAGCAGGAAGGGAGTGGACGACAGGAGGAAGCAAGGGCAGCAACGCGGGGCAAGAAAAGAAATGGCCCACCTGATCGCCGCCCACGCCGCAGCAGCCGAAGCGGCAGATGTCCGCCCCATGTCTAAATCTCCGCGTGGTCGGCCACGCGTTACACGCGGTCCGAAGATAAGCAGCACCAACAGAGGGGTGCGAGTTTAAAGTTAGCAGTGAGACGGCTCAGGAAAACACGATCACCGACGGGGGGGTCAGGCCAGAAATGCCGCGCTCGCTTCAGAAGAACAGGAACACGGGTCGGGGGCGACTGACGCCGATTCAGGAGCCGATGCATCATTCCCCTGGACACCTGTCTCTTCGGGATCGCGAGGGCGGGGGCCAGGGCAGTCAACTCGCGCCAACAACGCAGCATGAAGAACGTGGCCGAAGATCCCCACCAGCTCGGATACCTGGGGAAAAACTGCACATCGAGGTCCCGAACACCAGTGAAAAGGCGATGCAATCTTCGCATGGCCCCCCCAAGCTCACGCGAGCCTGCTGCAGCGCAAAACATAGCGGCCCGAGCTGAACGCTCAAGCTTTCTCGGTTCGAACTTAATCCCGACGACCGAGATGCACCGCAACAGATCGCTCAGAACGGCGCGCCGTGGGGCCGCAGTCAGACGCTGCAAAGCAATGTGCCCTGCGCGCCGCACACGAGCCGTCACAGGGCAGACTTGCCAAACATGCGAGAGCACCGGGAGACCAAATACGTCGCGGGCGCGAAGGTTGTGCACAAGAGACAGCCGAAGGGAACGCACGCGCGAGACACGCTGCAGCAACTTCCGACACGGCGCTTCCCAGGAGGCCCCGCGCCCTAAAGGGCCAAAGAGGGCTCCAAGATACCCCCCGCACTTCCGAACCTGGAAACGAGCGAGATTTAACCTAAGACGCCTGAATCCAGCAACGAGCAGGGGAGGGTCGGAAACTCCAAGAACAAACAGGACGCACCTGCCAGGGTTCCGGCAAAGACCTGCGACGCGAGCCCGCAGAGACACCCACGTGAGAATGACGGGCAGAGACACAAACACGTCAGCAAAGACAACCCCAACGTCATCGGCAGAAGAATAAGCAGCGGCAGAATGGGGCGAGATCCGTCTCTCAAAACCGCGCAAGACAGGGTCCATGGCACGCGCGAAGTGCAGCCCTGCAAGTTGACACCCATGCTTCGCGCCACGCGTGACCATCCGACCAAGATTCTTCCAACAGAAAAAAAAAAACACTTCCACTCCGTCGCGCAAGAACTCAACCGCTTTCAAGATGGCAAGAGGCACACCGTGAACTGCAAGCATATCGGACAAGAACTGGCGGCTGAGAGAGGGGCAGGCCAATGCTATATCCAGGGAGGCGGCCCCAGCATTCGGGCAACCCCGCCAGACGCGCCATTCCAGGAACCACGATTCCAAACCGGCGGCGTTGCCCAGGGTGTTGCGCCCCTTGACGAACCCGCGAGCA